ACATTCATGCATATATGCATACACACTGTACACATACACACAAAAATTAAAATAAAAATTATTTTTAAAACTTTGTTTACAAATTGTAAAAAGCGTGATAAAGAAAAGCAGAACCAAGATGGCAGCACACACTGTGATCTTGGTACTCAGGAAGTGGAGGCAGGAGGATTGCCAACTCAAGGCCCATCTGGGTTACATAGCCAAGCACGGTAGCCCACATCTTTAATCACCAGCCCCAAGGAGGCAGAAATAGGTGAATCTCTGTGAGGTTTGGGGTTTTTGTTGTTTGGTTGGTTTTTTGGATTTTCAAAACAGGGTTTCTCTGTGTAGCCTTGGCTGTCCTCGAACTCACAGAGATCCCCGTCTTTGCTGGGATTAAAGGCATTCACCACCATGACCAGCTTGGATCACCTTGAGTTTGAAGTTTGGCCTACATTGTATATTCCTCATCAGAGTGCTACAGAGACTCATAAAGAAACCACTACCCACCCCACCCCACCCACCCACCCCTGGGGTGGTGGCTCACACCTTTAATCGGAACATACCAAAAAAGAAAGTAATGACAGGTTGAGGGGTTCCCCAGTCTCTCTTGGGAGGGGCTTCCTGCCATAACTCTGAACAACTTGGGGTTCGAGACAAGCGCCTTGTCTCCACTCACTCCAGTCTGTGATGGAGCTCCTGAGCCAGGGACTGGAGAGATCGGGAAGCATTAAGATCAGTTATTTTCTTGCAAAGGATCGAGTCTGGCTCCTAGCACCCACATCAGGCTGCTAACAATCACCTGTAATTCCAGCTCCAGGGCATCCAACACCCTGAACTCTGAACTCTGTGAGCACTGCAGTCCCGTGCACATACCCACATAGATAAACATAATTAAAAATACTGAAAATAAATCTTAAAAAATAAAAAGACCCTGATCCGGGTAGAGCCACCCAGAACCTGGTGGTTCAAGACAGAAGAGGAAGGTCGGAGGGACTGAAAACTCCAGAAGAAAACCAGAATAGGCCTCACACCCTTTGACCTCAGAAATCCCACCAGGGAGATAACCAGAGATAAGAACAAGACAGCAATGTCTTGTTGGGGGGAGGGGGAGAGATGAGTAACAACCAAATTGTCTAACAAATTGCAAGATTAAATAAATCACGGCAGGCGCATGAAATACATTCAGAAGAACCAAGCTGCCGACTGCACTGTGTGTAGAATGTTCCGGGTGCAAAGATACCAACACATTCAGGCTAGTTCTCTCTAGTCAGGGGTGAGGGTAGGTGGCGTGTACTTGTATTTCCTTATTAATCCTGATTTTCAGTGTTTTCTGTTTTCTTCAGGGATTTCACTTTAATCACAGGGGTTTGGAGACATTATTATTTTAAAGGGCACGGCACAGTGGCAGAGAAATAAGTGAGGAGGAATATCGGGCGCATGACCAGAGGCCCGAAAATGTAATCAGCTCCTCCCAACACCAGAGAGGAAGAAGCCAATGGTCTGGGAAGGAGGGATAAAGGACCTAGGCTGGCTGCAGAGAGGGAGAGCGGCAAACATTTCAGACAACAGCCCTGGAGGTGGACTTCACCCCTGCACGGCCAGGCACCTCCTGCAGCATGAGAAGCTTCACACACCAGCATCGCCACTGCACTGGTGAAGTTTTGGAAATCATGTTTCTCAGGTACCCCAGGATTTAAAAAAAAAAAAAAAAAAAAAAAGTGCAGCTGAGAACAAAGCTCTAGGGAGGCTCCTGACTCCAGTCACCAAGGCAAACGTCCTCCTGGTACACAGATTTCCCACGGGCCTGCTGGTGTAAACAGTGGCATCACCCGCAGAGAGGCCCAGGTTTGCCAGCTCCCAGGTGAGGAGGCCAAAGGGCCCCTGTGAAACCTAAAGGCTCATGGTAAACAATGTTCCCGCTCCGAAAGCTAACCACCCCTTTCCAGGGCTTCAGCACCACAGGCCATGTGTGGTCCCATCCAAATGCACCCCAGTCTATGCAAACCCAAATAATAACACTAATAAACACGGAGGGCCGAGAGACGGCTCGGCAGGAGGGGTGACTGGCACCCACCCTGACAACCTGCGTTCGAACCTGAGGACCCACATGATTGAAGGAGAGAACCAACTCCCACAGGTTGCCCGAGGACCACCACTGGAGTACCACAGGACACAAAAAGAGACACACACACAACAAATACAATTGACTAGGATTCGGAAAAAAAAATGGCCTTTGACTTACTAAGGCCTGCCTTTGCACACAATATTCATTTCAAAACCAAAAATAACAAGCTCACAGTATAAAACCCAACAGATGTCTGCTGGCCATTTTCTTCCTTTCTTTTTCTAAGAGGAAAATGTTTAAAGATCTGCTATGGACAGGCCCTATTAATACCTGCGGCCTGTAACATGATCCAAACATTTGACAGCAGAGGAGCCTGGTTATGGAATTTTGAAATACATGCACTGCTCCTTCCAGCCTATTCTGGTTTGAAATAGAAACCAACACCAAAATGATCAATCCTAAAGGGTAGAACAATGGGCAATGTAACCAACCCACAGCCATTAGCAACGTGAGTTGGTACTTTTTGTAAGTTAAGGAAAAAAAAACTTAAAAGTATAATAAAATAATTTTTCAGAGAAAAAGTGACAAGTGTGTGTGTGTGTGTGTGTGTGTGTGTGTGTGTGTGTGTGTGTGTTCAAACTGGATGGAGGACAGTTAAGAGGCCAAGCAAGAATCCCACAGCAAAGCCAAGGCTCAGAAGCCAGTTCTGACCGGCCATTCCAGAAACTCCACTCTCCAAAGCTTTTTTTGCCTCTAAGTGCCTGGGGATTTCCCCTCACCCATTCCAGGCCCCACCAGGGTGCCACACAATTGGCCCAGGGAATTAAAATCTTGGGGGCAGGGACAGTAGACTTGTCTTCCCTAACCCTCCGGCCACCGGTAGGACAAGGGCGGCGAGGAGGCGGAGGAGCCAAACAGCAGGAGAATAAAGGGCCTGGAAGTTCCTTAACACTCAGCTACATGATGAAGCCAAAGGAGGTGAGACGATCCCCCCACCCCCTCCGGATGCAAGTCACTGTTTATCCAAGTGGGGACCAGCAAGTTACTCAGGGTTAGTCCAAGAGGCATTCTAGGCCTCAGCTATCACTCGAGTGAGACCAATATGTCTCACCATAATGTCTGCACTGTCCGTCCCCCCCCCATTTACTGTCCTCGGCCCTTCCATGGTCTCCCATCCGCCTCAGAATCTGGCTGGGCTCCCTGCGTCTTCTAAGTCAGCCCACTGCTTTTAGGCACGAGGGTAATAAAGAGAATATCAAACATTTGCTGGTCACAGCATTTGGGGCGGGGGCGGAGGGGGTGTGTGTCACAATGCCGTAAGTCACAACAGGAGGAAAAAGGGATTAAAAGTGACCAGCAAAACTAAGGAACCGGCAAGGACATACACGTCTACCACCTTCCCACGGATGGAAAGGCTCTGCTGTTGAATCTTACCTGAGGCTCCCACGAGATACACGAGCAGTCGTAATTACTCCCATTTTATAGATGCAGGAGCTGGGGCTCAGAGACTTGAGTAAAGTAACTCAAGAGTGCCTGAACAGGGCTCCAAAGGCACACTTGCCTGAACAAGCTGAAGGCTCCCAATTACTTGCCCATCCCCAAGGAGGGCAGCTACCTTCCAAAGCTATCCATCCAGTACCGTTCCGGCCCACCGGAGCCCAGCTACCCTCTAAAACGCCCCCTGCACCAGGGAGCCAGTAGGTTCCTGAGGTCCACACATGCCTTCCCATGCTCATCCCCCAGAAGCCCACACTGACCGAGGACCTAATAATGTGGGTATTTTGTTAGGTTTTCACGATGTAGCCCAGGTTGGCCTGGAACTCCCAGCAGTCCTACAATACCCAATGTTTTGAATCCCTTCTCCAATGTCGCCACTTCAAATCAGCACCTGTGGCATGCTCCAGCATGGATGACACCACAAGTGGCCAACCTTCTAGGTTGACAGCACAGAGTAACCATGGAGCACCGACTGCATGCCAAGTCATGCCTCTCTGCCAATGAAGGCTGAGGAGTCCTTGGGTTTGGAGGTGGAGGCAGCAGGTATTCCACTCGACAGCCTGTACCCCTCAGGTCCCAGCCTGCACCACGACGGTGCAGACATTACGATACGATACGAGCCCCTGGCAGTTGTACTGCCAAGAAAAGACGCCAAGGCTTCAAACGGACGAACTGAAAGCCCAAAGGATATGTATAATGCAGACAACACACCGAAAATACACGCTAACCTTTCCAGGGAAGAAAGCCGTAGGTGAAATTGAACTATCCTGAAAAAGACAGGCTTTTATGAAGGCTTCTCCCAGGCAGCCATTTAAGCAAATGACACACTCCGGAGAGCATCGGCGCCCCCCTTCTCCCACTTCCTTCAAGCTCACCATTGCTGGGGGGGGGGGGGGGACGACGACACCTATTCTTGCCTAACAGTGGGCTTCGTCTCCCCACGTATTTACAAAGAAAGGAAAGCAGCGTCCACTTTTGTGCAGGCAGATCCTCTCTGGAGAGGCCCACTACCTCAACGGGGCTGCATTTCTCTTAAAAGGTAGGCGAAGGAAAAAAAAAAAAATTCATCAATCTGGCAGGCCCCGAGCAGCGACATCCTGTTTATTATTAAACATTTTTAGCTACGGCTCCGGGTGCCGTGAAAACACCACCCCGCTTCCCGCAGCCGAACCCACCCGAGCCGGGGCGGCGCTCGGCCTGCGGTTCCGGGCGTCCTCGGGGTCCCGCGTCCCCCGCCCCGGCCTACGAGGCCGCTGTCCCCAGGCGCAGGAGAGCTCTCCGGCTCGATCCCGACCGCGATCAGATCCCGGCCCCGCCCGGCCCGCCGTCCTCCCGCCCTGGCCGCCGAGACACAACAATGGCGAGCTGGAGAGCGCCGACCAGGCCGCAGCCCCGCGCCCGCCGCAGCGCACGGCAGTGGAGACAAAGCGCAGTCCCGGCCCCGGCCCCGGCCCACCTGGTCTGCGTCCGCGAGCGACGGGCCCGGGCGATGGCGGTCGGGCGGCGGCCGGGCGCGGGGGCGGCGGATGGCGGCGGATTGCGCGGCGGCGGCGCGGGGCTCGGCGCTCTGCGCTCCTGCCTCCTCCTCCCGCTCCTCGGCGCTCGCTGGAGCCTCGGCGCTGTGGCTCGCCGCCGCCTCCCGCCCGCGCTCCGCTCCCCGCCCCCCGCCGCCGCCGCCGCCCCCGCCTCCGCGCCGCCCCCGCCCCCGCCCGCCGCCCGCACGGTGGCCCGCGCAGCGCCCCCTGCTGCGCCACCCCTGTCCCGGGAGGGAGGGTGCGGGGAGCGGGCTGGGCCGCGGTGCAGAGAGGGGCTGCGGAAGAGAGGGACCTCAATGGAGAGGAAGCTCGGCTGGAGAGGGGACGCGGTGGAGAAGGGGCTTAGGTGGAGAGAGGCCTTGATGGAGAAGGGTTCTAGGTGGAGAAGAGACCTAAGTGAAGGATCTTGACGGCAAGGAGCCTAGGTGGAGAGAGACCTTAATGGAGAAGGGACCTAGGTGAAAGGGACCTGGAGAAAAAGGGATCCTCAGTGGAGAAGGGGCCCCGGTGGAAAGAGGCTGCAGTGGAGAGGGTGTCTCAGATGGAGAAAAAGTGGAGAAGGAACTGGATGGAGAGGGGGTCCCAGCAGAGGGGGTCTTTATGGAGAGGCGATCGATCGTGGTGCAGAGGACCTCAGAGGAGAGGGGGTAGAGACCACCCCCACCATGAAGAGGACCTCGATGGAGTGGGGGAAGGGGCTCCTGAGAGAGGACTGGGAACAGACTGGGGGGAGACCCCAGGGAGGGCTCTGGGGTGAGGATGGGAAGGGGAGAAGGGGAGGGCGCAGCGCTCTAGAAGGCAGGGGATGCGGACCTGAGGCCTGGAAGGCTAGCAGGAAGGAGGGTTCAGAAACGGGATCGGGCCTGGATCCTGCCCCCTCCACCCTCCTGACAGCCCGACAGCCCGGACTGTGTTAGAAGGTGTCAGACGGGTCCAGGGGGAAGGCAGAAGTAGCACGTCGTTGTTTCCATTCCCTAACAAGTGCACAGTATAGACACTTCACCCCTTTTGTTTAAGATGTCATAAACCACCCCTCTTGGGTGTTACCGTGTATTTGTGTGAATGCAAAACAAAAGGTCTGGGAGAGAGAATGGCTCCCCTCGCGGTTACTTGTGTGGTGCGAGGTGGGAGAGGTTTCCATGTATTCCAGATACCCTGGCAATTAAAAATCAAATTCAAGAAACAAAAACAATAATACAAAAGAATGGTTGGGGATAAAGCTCAGTTGTAGAATTCGTGGTTATTATGCAAGAGGCCCTGGCTTCGGTAACTGAAGAAAAAAAAGTAGGCATTTTTCTGAACAGGCTCGATCCCAGCTCTGCTACCATGCCCTGTGTTAGTGGGCTGGGTTTGTCTGATTTAACGCCAACTCCGGAGCACGGAGCTCTTACTGTTGCTCCAATTAACAGATAAGAAAAAAGAGGGACGGAGAGGCCACGTAGCTTTCCTGAGGCTGTTCAGCTGGGCCCACAAAAAGGTTAACCCGTTTCAGTGGAACTTGGAACGCCAGGCCCAGTGCCTGGGGCGTGAGGTTCTGAGGAGTTCTACAACCTTTCTGACTGACGCTTTCCCAATTTTACAGCTTTGTATCCATGAGCACTTGTGTGTTTCTCTCCTCTTTAAAATAAACCTGCCAGGCATGGTGGCACATGTCCGTAATCCCAACACTGTCTCCCGCTGGAACAGGACTGCTGTTCATTTGAGACCAGATTGGGTTACATAGCAAGACCCTGTTTCAAAAACAAATAAGCGAAGCAGGGTGTGGTGGTGCAGACATGGATGGAATCCCAGCACTGAGGAGAGGGAGGCAACTCCATCAGAAGTTCAAAGTCACCCTCGGCTATGTGGGGAATCAGAGGCCAGCCTGGGTTACAGGATGACGTCGAACTTCTGATGCTCCTGCTCCACCTCCCAAGCACTGGATTACACTGGATTACTCGTTCAGTGCTGAGGATCAAACCTAGGGCTTTGTGTGTGCTAGCCAACTGAGCTACAGACACCCAGCCCTGGAGTCTCTCACTGAATCCTCACCAAGCGCTCACAAAACAGGCATTGCTGCTCTTCCCATGAGGCAGAGAAGAAAGGCAGGCTGTAGGAGGCACAATGGCCATCCTACCATCAGTGACACCCAAGTCCTAACCTGTGTGGCAAAGGGACATTTCATACATGATTCAGCTAAGGATCCTGCACGGTTTAGGTGCCTCCAATATAATCACAGGATCTTTGTAAGAAAGGGTAAGAGTCCATGAGATAAAATGATTCTTAGCTACACAGTTGGCTATATGTATCCTCGGGTCCCACATTCTCTGATTCAACTCTCTGAGGATGAAATCTTCAGAGAAGCTAGGCATGGTGGCTGGCTCACATCTGTAACACTGGGGAACCTGAGGCAGGATGATTGCTGTGTTCAAGGTCAGCCTGGACTATGAAGTGAGACCCTATCTCAAAAAAGGAAAGAAGAAAGAAAGAAGAGAGAGAGAGAGAGAGAAGAGAAAGAAAGAGAAAAGAGAAAGAACAGAAAAGCTGCATCAGTGCTGGACATGAACAGACTTTTATTCCTGCCATTATTCCCCAGGCAACAAGGCCAAACAACTATTTGCATCACTCCTGAGATGTAGTGGGTAGCAAGAGTAATCTGAAAATGATGAAAAGATACAGGAGGCTGTGTGTAGGTCATAGGTAAATATCTTGACATTTCATATACAAGACTGAGGTATCTTTGGATTTTGTTGTTCTCAAGGAGTCCTAGAACCGTTACCACTCCACTGCGGAACAACTGTGTATTTTATTTAACACATTAAATAAAAAATACCATTCGTGAGACTGGGCATGGTGGTGCATGACTTTTATCCCAGCACTGGAAAGGAAGATGCAGGCCATTCTCTGTGAGTTCAAAGCCAGCCTGGTCTACATAGAGAGACCTGTCTCAAACAACCAAAAATGAAAAAATTAAAAACCATCATTCTGGCCGGGCGGTGGTGGTGCACGCCTTTAATCCCAGCACTCGGGAGGCAGAGCCAGGCGGATCTCTGTGAGTTCAAGGCCAGCCTGGGCTACCAAGTGAGTCCCAGGAAAGGCGCAAAGCTACACAGAGAAACCCTGTCTCGAAAAACCAAAAAAAAAAAAAAAACCATCATTCTGACCACATCTCAAGTGCTCAGTGGCCACATGTGGCCACTGTGTGTGTTCAAGTGTTTCTCTGTAAATGTGTGTGAGTGGGACACATGTTGAAGTCAGAGGGTGGGGGTAATGGTAGGTGATGTCCTTGCCTCGGACCTTGCTGTTCTCTGTTGCATCCCAGGATATCTGTCCCTCAAGTTGCTGTCTCTATCCCCATGTCACCGTAGGATTGCTGTGGCTAGAGATGGCCGTTACTGGGGATCCAAATGTCACGCTTGCAGAGCAAAGCGCCTGCCCACTAAGCCATCTCCCTGACCTCCAAAGCGATTTATCTTTTCCATTGTCCTCCATGGTGATGGGAACTACATGGCACCAAGAAAGGCCCAGATGCCTCCACCTCCCACGGGCTGGGGTTACAGGCATCTGCACCAACAGGCATTTGTCACTAACAGACATTTGCCACCATGCCAGATTTATACCTTGCTCAAACCCAGAGCCTTGTGCATGCTAGGCAAGCACTCTACCAACTGATCTGCATCGCTAGCCTGGGAAGCAGTTTCCTGAGTACAGTGGAGGAGGGCGGCTGGCTGGTAGCAACAAGAGTCTCATCTGTCCTTTTTCACCTTCTTTCTGGTCTGAGGATTGAATCCAGGGCCTTGGACATGCCAGCCAAGCTCGGTCACTAATCTGTATCCCTTTCCTTGCATCTTCTGTGGGTCCTTTACACATGTGTGGTTTTACAGCATTATGCAGTGGTCATTTGGGTTTTGTTTGAAATAGAGTCTCATGGTGCAGCCCTGGCTGGCCTGGAGCTCTACGTGAACCACGTTACCTTCAAACTCACGAAGATCTGTCTGCCCCTGCCTTCTGAATGCTGGAATTAAAGGCATGTGCCAACATGACCAGTACAATGGTTACTGAGTCAGGCAGGTCTGCCAGATGTTGGCAGATGTAATGCTTAAAATTCCTATTTGTTGGGCGAAGGAGATAACTCAGTAAAGTGCCTGCCACTTAAGCATGAGGACTTGAGTTCGCTTTCCTAGCATCCATGTAAAAAAGCTGATAGTGGGCTGGAGAGATGGCTCAGCGGTTAAGAGCACTTACTGCTCTTCCAGAGGACCCGGGTTCAATTCCCAGCACCCACATGGCAGCTCACAACTGTCTGTAACTCCAGTTCCAGTGTATCTGACACCTTCACACCAATGCACATAAAATGAAGTTAAATAAACTATTCCTTAAAAAAAAAATTTTAAGAGTCGGGCGGTGGTGGCACACAACTTTAATCCCAACACTCAGGAGGCAGAGCCAGGTGGATCTCTGTGAGTTCCAGGCTAACTTGGTCTACAGAGCAAGATCCAGGACAGGCACCAAAACTATGCAGAGAAACCCTGTCTTGAAAAACCAAAAAAAAAAAAAAACATTTTTTTTTTTAAAGCTGATAGCATATCTGTAACCCAGCACCAGGACGGGGAGGGAGAAGGCTCTATGGAGTTCAGCAGCCAGCCAGCCTGGCCAATTAGTAAGCTCCAGGTTCAATGGGAGACCCTGTCTCAAAAAATTAGGTAGAGAACAACTGAGTAAAAGCTATTTGACATAGACCTCTGACTGCCACATGCACATACAGGCATGGCACCCATACCCCACCCTTCATACACAGACTCACACAGTCATCTTTGTTAATGCTCCACTCTCAGAAAAGCCTTTAATTACCAGTTGAGTTCACCATGGAAGCTTCACATTCTCCCCAACTCTGCCTGAAACGTCACCTTTTATCATTGTTAGTACTAACCATTGCTTCCTTTGAAATGAACCTATTCAGATCTATGCTGTTTGGGGCAGGGTCTCAGGCTGTTCACAAACTTACTGTGTAGCCAAGGATGACCTTGATCTCCTCTTCCTCCTACGTCCACCCTTCAAGTGCTAGGATTATAGGTGTGCATCGCCCCATCCATCTTCCAAATAGCAACATCTAAAGCAAAACATTATAACAATACAATCCAAAGATATACTTTCATACTGAGAAATGATGGTAGGAAAATAGCATTTGTTTCCATAATTAAGCCATCATATTTCTATAAGAGCAGGCATTTTTTTTATATGGCCAATTAAAAACACCGCAACTCTGCTGGGCACAGTTGTGCACACCTTTATTCTTAGCACTCAGGAGGCAGAGGTAAGTGGATCTCTGTGAGTTCAAGTCCAGCCTGGTCCACAGAGCTAGTTCCAGGATACTAGGGGATTCATTGGAAAGACCCTATCTCAAAAACAGATAGGTAGGTAGATAGATAAATGATAGATAGATAGACAGACAGACAAACAGATAGATAGAATGATAGATGATAGATAGATAGATAGAATCATAGATAGATAGATAGATAGATAGATAGAATCATAGATAGATAGATAGATAGATAGATAGAATCATAGATAGATAGATAGATAGATAGATAGATAGATAGACAGATAGACAGATAGATAGATAGACTCATAGATAGACAGATAGATAGATAGATAGATAGATAGATAGATAGATAGATAGATAGATAGATAGAAGCTGGGTTTTGCAGTGTCTGTGAGGCTTGGTCAAAGGTCAATACTATGTCAATAGTTGTCATACCATATTAGGCAAGAGAAGACGGCATGTTTTCCTGGAAGATGTAAGCTTAGTCCCTGTATTTTTCTAGTCCTGGTTAGTTGACTGCTGCATGGGGACCTGCAGGCATGGTCGCTGCACTCTTCTGTGCCACAGAAGAGCCTTTCCTATATTGGCTGCTGTGTCTCACAGAATACTTAGAAAATGTGTCCCCCAGGCTGAGATTTAGCCAAAGTGTTTGTACCATTTCACCCAGCACACTCCTAAGAAAATCTGGCTCCTCTGCTGCCTGCAGAACCCCAGTGATGAAGAACGCCATGGCGACCTGCATGCTTCCCCAGCAGTGCCCTGACACCAGCTGCTTTTCCCATGACTGCTTTGGCAACACAGAGACAGATCATTTGCTTTCAAACGGCATCTAGGGCTGCGGGGATGGCACAGTGGGTAAAGGGACCACATGAGCCGACTCACTAGGAGTTGTATACTGAGTCTGTCTCTCACAGAAGTTGCTCAATACATGTTTTAAGATTTTTTTTTTTCTCTTCTGTGCACAGTACTTGGGAATGAACAGAACTCAGGGCCTCTCCTGAGGGGCAAATGCTGTACTTGTGAGCTGCGCCCCAGCCTCTATCAGGACTCTTGGATGGAGACTTTCTCTTGCCGTGCTTCCCACACGCCCAGTTCTGCTCAGCACTTTACCCGCCTCACCTCCTGAAGCAATGAGCCATGAGCACGAGACTCAGAGGCACGAGTATCTGGTTAGCCATGTCTTCAACGGGCACCAAACCTGAATGCGTACTTGAGACGGCATTTTTGTTTTTATTTTATTTTATCACCAAGCTTGTGTAGCCCAAGCTGGCCTTAAACTTACTGTGTGGTGAACTATGACTTTGAACCCCTGCCCATGTTCTCAGTGCTGGGATTATAGGTCTACGACACAAGGCCCAGTTTAGTAGAGTTTTAAGGTCACAAATTTTAGAGTCTAGAGTGTACCTGTAATCCTGGCCATAGCCTGGACAGCATAGCAAGACCCTGTCTCCAGAAACCCCAAATCACCGTTTATAGAGGCCCCAGGGCTGAGCAACTCACTGTTGCTCTCCGGAAACCTTGCTGCAGCTGATGCCTCTGCTGTGTGGGTCAGGGTGATGATGGTTGTCTAGGTTACTCCTCAAGGCCTTGAAGGTTATTTTTGTAGAAACTACCGGCTTTTTTCCGGGCCCCGGGCAGGTGTCCCTGGTGAAAACTCTGCCCTCAGATTACGCCTCCATTTTCTGCAGATGCACCCTATGAGGAGCCTGGAAGACTAATTAGTTATGCAAAGACCAGGGCAGCACCTCACTGCCAACTGACAGACACCGCAGACCGGGCTGTTTATCCCATGCATACCCCTTCACCCTGTCCTCAGGGAGGCATATTTGAGTAAAGTTCTTCCCGCTCTGCGCTTGGCCACCTCCTAAATAAAGCCTCACTGGCTTTTGCAAACCCAGTCTTCTCGATGATTGGCGTCCTGCCCAGCAGGCCTGGGTCAATGACACAATCAGATCCAAGAGTCTGCCCTGTGTTGTGTGATTTCAAAGCCAGTGCTCTTAATCATTGGGCCAGCCTGAATGTATTTGCTGGCACGGATTGCGGCGACATCAGGAAAAAGACTAAATGAGGGCTGGAGGTAGAGCTCAGGGGTAGACTGCTTGCCTCGCGTGGGTGAGGCCCTGGGTTTAATCCACAGCACACCCACTACCAGGGTTCTTAGGACAAGGGCCTGGGCCCTGGGAACACCAGCAAGAGAGGCTGAACCACTCATCATCACCTGGCCAATTAAACACACAAGCCCAAGAGGAAAGGGAGAGAGATTTATCCAACGTGGCCACATCGGGAAGAGGATAAATAGGTTCGGTGACTTGCTCTCCTAGCTCGGGACCTCGGCAGGAGCTTCAGGTTTAAAGACAGGGTCAGGGTTAGGCATAACTAAACAATCCAGGGTTAGGCATAACTAAACAATCCAGGGTTAGGCATAACTAAACAATCCAGGGTTAGGCATAACTAAACAATCCAGGGTTAGGCATAACTAAACAATCCAGGTCGAAGTGCAGGCCTGCCCATCACTGCCCCACCACTGCCCCAGTCTCTCCTGCAAGGTGGTCTGACCAGCCGTCAGACCTGTAGGAAACCTCTTCCCGGGAGACAAGCTCCCTCTCCAGTTGGCACCAGGGTTCAGCTCTCCTCTCAGCATGGGACTTCCTGGGAAATTGCAATTTCTCGGGGGCCAGTGTGTCAATAGTATGCTAGCGAAAAGGAAGGGTACAAGGTCCTTCCAGCACAGTTACAACCACCCCCCAGGCCCAGATAATAATGATTAAAAGAAAATTTAAGGAGAGTTTGTGAAGACATTCCAGTCACTAAGCTGACCGTATGACTCCATCGTAATTCCCCAGGTGTGAGGTGGAGCCGAGAGTCTCAGGCCTACCTGGGTAGAGCAGCTAAGGGCAGGACAGTGTCTGCACTTTAAGTCACTGGACCACAGTCACAAAGGATGGGTGCCACCGTGATACAGGTCTTCCACACCCAAGCACGGACGGTCACCACAAGGGGAAACGACAAACCAGGAGGGCCCAGGTGTGCATCAGGGATAATGAGATGACGGGGTCCCTGGGCCACGTCCCCACAGGTCCTGGCCTCCAGAGTTCCAGCCAGAGCTGTGAGCAGTGGCGTTCCCCAGATGCCCGGCCCTAGCCTCCTCAGCTCTCAGAGGATGTTGCAGCTCCTAGTATCTTCAAAGGAGAATTAACTAGTGGAATGCCAGACAGCTTGGCTAACTCTCAGGCCAAGTTTCTGGAATGTGTCTGACCCTTATTGGCTGCTTAAGCCTCATCTCTTGCCTGTTCCCTTTTTACCCACAAGGCTTTCCCTCACCTCTGGACCTCTGCCTGCTATGAATTCTTCCATTCCCTGTAACTAGCTTTGCCTGGGTGTATCCTACTCAACGCTCAGGACTCAGCTTGCGTGTGTCCCTTTTAGTTCCCTATGGGCACTCATCTCCAAATTACCATGGTAGGATTTTCTGAATCCCTCCCTTGTTCAACAACTGGACTGGTCCTTCACTTAACTGCTTAGGAGGTTGGAAATTGCAGTCTGGGGTGCGCACTGGAGAAAGGGCTGTGACATCATCATTCATTGTTTATTATGGGCTAGGCATTGATTGGGCTGACCACGCTCATACCAGCTCACTTGATCCTCATAAACACCTTCATTCTAAAGAAGAAATTGCATGAAAGGGTTACATGACATGTATTGCTTGAAATAGCTAAGAGTGTATGTCCAGGGCCTGGCCCAGGCACTCTGTCTCCAGGGCTTACAACACATTTGCCAGGCGCCTGCCTCTCTGCAGACAATAAAAGGAAAGTCTCCAAAGTGAGGCGCTGCTACCCTGGGGAGGATACAAAGGAATCCTCTGGGATAAAAGAAGGAAACATGATCTTTCTATTTCTGATTATCTAGTCTAAAAAAAAAAAATCAGAGTGAGGTTACCCTTAACTAATATGCAGCATACACCCTGACAGGGAGCCTTCCCTCAGCTGAGGATCAATCCATGTAAATCCATATTAGAACAATTTAATATTGCTCTGACTTCCTCAGAGAACCAAGCAAGCATCTGTTGCAGCGCTCGCTAAGTGGATCAGTGCCCTAAGCGTTTCTGTTCTATTTAAACTAACGCTCACAGAGTGGACGAAATTTAAAAAAATTCACACCCACGAGGGTGTGGTGATGCTCGCCTATTAATCCCTGAAGGAAGGAGGTGGAGGTAGAAAGATCAGTTCAAGATTATCCTCGGACACACAATGAGTTCAAGGCCAGCCTAGGCTTCATGAGACCTTGTCTCAGAAAAATCAAACAAAGATTCACGCAGTGCACTACGCATGGGTTCATCAGGACTAGGCACAGACAGGCCAGCAACACCCGAGCCTCCTTGCGCATGCTCAGGTTCGCAGGGTCACCGCGCGGAGGGCGGGGCATTGTAGCCGCACCCCTTTCCTGTCCCCTACCTCCACCCCACCTCCACCCCGGGTTTGGCTGCCTCCCGTTATGATTGGGCGAGCTGTGGTCGGAGGTGAGCGACTGGGTGTAGATACGGCCTCTCGCCCAGAAGCCAGCTCCGATTGGCTGAGATGCTCCGATGCGCTGTGAGGTCATCCGTACTGCGACAGAGTCGGCCGTCTAGGGGCAGCCGGCGTCAGGTGTTTGTGCTCTGCGGGCGGTCCTAGGTCTGTCGTGGTCGTGTCGTGGCGGTAAGAGGCCTGCTCACACGGCGCCGCGTTCCCGGAGTTTGGAACCCAGGCTTGGTGTCCCAGTAAGCATACGGGAGCAGCCGGTCTCCTGCAGATTAAAGGACACTGGGCAGTCTACCTTGTGCTTTTGAGACAGGGACTCTCACTCAAGCCCGGGTCTGTCTGGGATAAGTCGGCTTGGCAGCGAGTCCCAGTCATCCTCCTGTCTCCGCCTTCCCAGCTCTGGGGTTTGCCACCATGCATGGGTGCTGGAGATTAAACTCAGGTCCTCATGTTTTCAGGCAAGCCGTTTTTCCACTGAACTCTTTTCCTTAGTCCCACGCCTCAGAGGCCGGTTGCTGACAGCCTTATTGGTCTATTAACCCATCTCTGGTAGCAAGAGAGGGACTTAAGGAAAGATCCAGGAAAAGTGTGACCAGCAGAAGTCTCTGAAGTTCTGGGACTTGTAGAAAGCAGATCCTGCCCCAAACACTTTTTGCTTTTCAAGACAAGGTTTCTCTGGCTGTCCTGGAATAGCTTGGCTGACCAGGCTGGCCTCGAACTAAAAACAATGGGCAGTGAATTTGAATAGACAGTTCCCAGAAGAGACGCCAAATGGGCACACAGGAAAATGCTGGTTACCAGGAGTCACCAGGGAAATGAAAACCAAAGCCACTTTTGTATTTTATTTCATGTATGTGTGTGGGCATGTGCACCATAGAGGATAAATTTTGGGAGTTGGCTCTCTCCTCCCACCATGGGGATCAAACTCGGGTCCTCAGACTTGGCGGCAGATGCCTTATCCCCTGGACCATCTTGCTGGTCCTGAGTCCTGTTGGTGACTATGGAAAATGACATAAGTCAGGGCTGGGGAGGCAGCTTCAGTGGGTAAAGGGATAGTTATGCAAGCATGAGGCACTGAATAGGATTCCCTGCACACATATAAAGAACTCATTGTGGCCATGGACCTAAGGAACCCTGGAGCTGGGGCCAGGGAACAGAGACAGAAGGGTCCCCCAGAGCTCACTGGCAAGTCTGTTTAGCTTGGTGAGCTCCAGGTTCAGTAAGAGATCGTGTCTCAAAAAATAAAGTGGAATTGGTTTTGACTTCTTATTAACTATGAATGCTTGGTCTTAGCTTAGGCTTGTTTCCAACTAACTCTTATAACAAATTAACCCATTTATATTAATCTACATTCTGCCACGTGGCTCGTTACCTCTCCTCCATACTGTACGTCTGATTCCCTCTACGTCAGGCTGGCTTAATCCCACACACCTCAGATTCTTACCAAAGTTCCTCTCTCCTTGGAAGTCCCGCCTATTCTCTCCTGCCTAGCTATTGGCCATTCAGGTCTTTATTAAACCAATCAGGTGTCTTAGCTAGAGCCACATCTTCACGGTGTACAAAAGGATTATCCCACAACAGCAGATGACCTGGGTTCAATTCCTAGTACCCACGTGGTGATTCACAACCATCTAGAGCTCCAGTTCCAGAGGATCTGATGTCCTTTTCTGACCTTCAAAGGCAGCAGCATGAACATGAGGCACATCTGTGCACGCAGACAAACTACTCATGGACATAAAAATAAAAAGAAGGTGGAGAGCTATTGAGGAAGGCATCTAAGGTTGACCTGCGGCCTCACAAGTGCATGCAGACACGTCATACATACATTGATCAAAGTGGACTGGCTGTCCTCAGAGAAAAGAGAATACTTATACACCAAGGTTTATAACAGCTGTGACCAAAAAGAACACCCTCCCCACCCTCCAAAACAGAGGTGTGCAGATCCTCATTAATCCCCAGCACTTGTGTGTTGCTACTGGACCTACATAGGGATTGGGTGGATGTAAGTGAGGGTTTTGACATATGGGGCCATCTTGGATGATCCCAGCAAACCCAGGAATCCTCAAATCTGACCATAGTTGCAGAAGTAATGGTCAAACTCTTTGAAGATGGGGAAGGGACCATGAGCCCTGGGCCTGGTGATAAACTCACAGCACTTTGACTCTAAAGAAGTAGGCCAAGTGCAGGAAGCCTGGTGTTAGGAATTATGGGTGGAGGAGAGATAAAGGAGGGGTCACAAGTGGCCTGAGAAAAGAAAGCACATGAAGGTGTCTTAGTTAGGGTTGCTATTGCTGTGATGACCAAAGAAACTTGTGGATGGGCTGGGTGGCGGTGGTGGTGCACGCCTTTGATCCCAGTACTTGGTAGGCAGAGGCAGGTGGATCTCTGTGAGTTCAAGGCCAACCTAGTCTACAAATCGAGTTCCATGACAGCCAGAGCTACATAGTGAGACCCTGTCTGGGGGCGGCGGGGGGGGGGGGGGGGGGGGGGGGGGGGAGGTGGAGAAAAAGAAAAGAGAAAGAAACTTGGGGAGAAAAGAGTTTCTTTGACTTGCACTTCTACATCACTGTTCATCATTGAAGGAATATGGGACAGAAACTCAAGCAGAGTAGGAACCTGGAGGCAGGTCATGGAGCAGTGTTGCTTACTGGCTTGCTCAGCCTGCTTTCTTATAGAACCCAGGACCACCAGCCCAGGGATGGCACCACCCGCAATGGTCCCCTTCAATCACTATATAAGAAATGTGCCACAGGCTTCCCTACAGCCTGATTTTATGGAGGCATTTCCTCCTTCCACCCCCCAACAAGGTTTCTTTGTGTAGCCCTGATTGTCCTGGAACTCACTCTATATACCAGGCTGGCCCTGAACTCCTGGCAGGAGAAAGGATAGGCAGGGCTGGCAGGCAAAAAGAATATATAGAGGGAGAAATCTGGGAGGATAAGAAAAAAGATGGAGGAGTGAAAATATCTAGGAGCCAGAGAAGGAGGAGGACTCCAGGGGCCAGCCACCCAGCTACATAGCAAGCCATGGAGTAAGAGTAAGATTTATAGAAATAAGAGAATGGTAAAAGCCCAGAGGCAAAAGATAGATGGAATAAGTTAAGGAAAGCTGGCAAGAAACTAAGCCAAGCTAAGGCTGGGCATTCATAATCAAGAATAAGCCTCTGCTGGACTGTGGTGGCTCATGCCTTTAATCCCAGCACTCGGGAGGTAGAGGCAGGTGGATCTCTGTGAGTTCGAGGCCAGCCTGGGCTACAGAGTGAGTTCCAGGACAGGCTCCAAAGCTACGCAGAGAAACCCTGTCTCTGTGTGTGACTTATTTGGGAGCTGAGTGGTGAGACCCCCCCAAGAAAAGAGCAAAAACAAATAACAACACTGAACCTATGACCCATCTCTCCAGCACCTAGAAACGGTGTATTTTGATCATATTCATGTCACATTTCTTCCCCTGACTCCTCCCAGGTCCTCTTTCCACCCCTACCCCTCCCAACTTGTGGGTTTAGTAACCCACAGACTCTAATTTGGGTTACCCACATACTGCAGGGTGTGGTGCCATCCACGGCAGCATGGTTGTCAAAAGCTCCTCTGTTAGGAGTAAAAGTTCATCAGTCTCCCCACACTCCATGCTGGAATACTAACTGACTTTATCTTGTGCAGAAAGCCACAGTTGTTGAAAGTACATGTTTTTTTTTTTTGGTTTTTCGAGACAGGGTTTCTCTGCGTAGCTTTGCGCCTCTCCTGGAACTCACTTGGTAGCCCAGGCTGGCCTCGAACTCACAGAGATCCACCTGGCTCTGCCTCCCGAGTGCTGGGATTAAAGGCGTGCGCCACCACCGCCCGGCGAAAGTACATGTTTTATATAGTAGTTCTATTATGTCTAGAAGACACCGTTTCACGCTAGTGTTTCCCAACCTCTTGGATCTTACCAGCTGCTCCCCAAATAAACACACAGAGACTTATTATTAATTATAAATGTTTGGCCAATAGCTTAAGCTTGTCTCCAGCCAGCTCTTACAACTTAAATTAACCCATTTCTGTTAATTTATGTGCTGCCCCGAGGCTCGTTTACCTCATCTATGAACTTCCCATGCTGCTTCTTCTGGTCTGGCTTGTGACTCTCCTGACCCCACCCCTTCTTCCCAGCATTCTCTCTGCCCCAACAATCAGCCAATTGGCTTTTTACTAACAATGAAAGCAACACATTTTCACAGTGTACAGAAGGATTATTCCACAGCATTTCTTCCTTTTTGTTTAATTAAAAAGGAAGGTTTTAACTTTAACATAATAAAATTATATACAACAAAAACAGTTATCAAGTAAGAATAGCAGTTACAGCCGGGCGGTGGTGGCGCACGCCTTTAATCCCAGCACTCGGGAGGCAGAGCCAGTCGGATCTCTGTGAGTTCGAGGCCAGCCTGGACTACCAAGTGAGTTCCAGGAAAGGCGCAAAGCTACACAGAGAAACCCTGTCTCGAAAAACCAAAAAAAAAAAAAAAAGAATAGCAGTTACAATATCCAGTCCATTTGTATTTGGCAAAATTAGAGAAAGTAGCCGGGCAGTCGTGGCTCACGCCTTTAATCCCAGCACTTAGTAGGCAGAGGCAGGTGTATCTCTGTGAGTTCAAGGCCAGCCTGATCTACAAAGTGAGTTCCAGGACAGGCACCAAAACTACACAGAGAAACTCTGTCTCAAAAAACCAAAAAACAAACAAACAAAAATTAGAGAAAGTACTTTATTGTTTATCTTATCTTTGTGAGTCTAAAGTTTTATATCTAATTTGCCTTTTATCATAACTGAGGAGAACTTTAAGTCTAATTATTTAGCCCATCAAAGACCCCAGAAGGGTGTAATGTTACCTAACGATAGGGACATCTGGCTGCCTGAACAGTCACCCGAAGTTCTTCTTGTAATGTTTGGTCATCCAACTTTGGTCTACAGGCCTAGTCTATCTGACAGACATTTTTGTGAAGCAGGGAATTTGGAAGGACTGTCCTTCCTTGTCTGGGCAAAGTTTGGCAGTCACTTTCTTTTGCATCCTGCTGGTCCAGTTTGGACAGTATACTGTCAGCAATTGAAGCAAGGGCAGTTTCTTCGCCCAAATGGCTAGCTTTTGCCATAAAGAAAGCAAACTCCATATGTAGGTTCTTGGATGCCCATCATCTTCTTTTGAAGTAAATTGGTGCTGTCAGGAGCAGACATGTCTCACTGTCATGAAAAGTTCCAAGTTATTGAACATATT